CGGTTTTTAGAGGGTATCACTTAGGGTCCCCGGTAGGACAGTGAGCCCCTCATAACCACGATAGACCGGCTATCGTGGTATGCGTAATGCATTTTCCGCCTCCCTACGTATAGGGTAGCCCTTTAATTGCTTCGGGCGCAAAAAAAATCTTGCAAATCGTTCGGGAAAAGTGCAAGACCAGCAGTCAATAAGAAGAAGTATAGGGAAATGATAGGGAAAAGTAATTACTCTCTCACGGAACGGTTTGAAGATAATTGCTGTTTTATTCCCAAGGAATTCTCCCCTTAAAGTGATACAGTCCATATCGAAGAATTAAGACGTTGGGACCGGGATGACTTCGGAAGATCCGTAATCCCCGCCTAAACCTATTTTCTGAAAAGGAAGAGGTTATCGCCCTTGTGTGGTACTCCATTGCGGAGATCACATACGTTGTTCCCGAACCCAACGTAGGCGTTGTAGGAGACCGGATCAAGAGAAGCCTCGATTCCCCCCTTCTGTTTCTTAGTTTAACGTTTGTCTGGTTCCTTTTCAAAGCTGGAGATACCACTTTTGTAGATGTATTGAATAGTCTACGGGTTGAAGAATTGACAATGCTGCAGTTGTCCGTAATAGACAGCCAAAGAGTACCATTGATAGGTGAATTAGGTGACGGGGAAGCCGTTAGAATTTTTCCTACAACTAATTTTGTGGAAAATTATACTTCCACTATAACTGAAGACCTAGAAAAACGCACTAAAATTTATAAGATTAATGCAGTATATATCTCACTGGACCCTAAAATGGCCAAATTCCAAAAAAAGAATATATATCGGACGATCCCAATAAAAAAGGAGGTATACCCAACACCATAAAATCTGGCATTGGGTCACGAGCAATGTTAAGTACGGAATCGTTGCAACAATCTGTGTAGAAAAGCACAACGACGCCTTATCCATGAATCAGTACAAGATCCTGATCCTGCTAAGGTCTGGAAATTTCTTAAGTCCTTAGGAGTTGGGAAATTACGGCAAAATCTCACACACCATAACCTTGATCTCAATCAACTTAATTTGCATTTCTCATCTTCGTCTTGCATTAACGATAAAGCAAAACATAATACTTTAGATTCTCTTTCAAAAGCTCCCACTCCGGACACCCCTGCTTTTAATTTTAGCCAATTTAACAGTTGTGATGTTAAGAGAGCCATAATGTCCATCCATTCAAATTCGATTGGTAGTGACTGCATTAGTCGGAAAATGGTCATCCCTCTCATTGATCTCCTTTTACCTATAATCACGTCTATCCTGAATAAATCACTGAATTCTGCTTTTTTCCCTTCAGCTTGGAAAGACGCATTTGTAGTTCCTCTTCCGAAAAAGTCAAATCCCTCTAGTTTTTCCGATTATAGACCTATCTCCATTTTGCCTTTCTTTTCCAAAGTTCTAGAACGTCTTGTGCACAATCAATTAAGTACCTATCTTTTAAAACACAATCTTTTAAATCCCTTGCAATCCGGTTTCCGTCCTGGCCATAGTACGACTACTGCACTTTTACAAATCACTGATGATATTCGGTATGGTATGGAGAAACAAAAGCTTACTATTCTCACGTTGCTTGATTTTAGTAACGCATTTAATACTGTAGATTTTGATATCTTGTTAAGCATCCTACGCTCTCTCAACATATCTCCAACTGTAGTTGACTGGTTTCGAAGTTACTTGTTTGGTCGCCGACAGCGAATTCAGGTGCAAGAGGGTTTTTCCACCTGGATTACTACAGCTGCTGGTGTACCACAAGGTGGCGTGTTGTCTCCTCTCCTTTTTGCAATTTTCATTAACTCTATAAGTCATAATTTGTCCTCTTCCTACCACTTGTATGCTGATGATCTCCAAATCTATACTCAGTCCTCTCTTGTAGATCTATCTAAAGCAGTTGACACTATTAACGCTGATCTGACTTGTATTTCGAATTGGAGTAAATGTTATGGTTTAACGATTAATCCTAAGAAAACTCAGGTCATTGTCATCGGTAGTTCTAGATTAATTGGTAAAATTGACTGGTCTCCCCTACCCCCTATTATACTAGACTGCACTCTAATCCCTTACAGTAACAAGGTTAAAAACCTGGGGTTGTATCTTGACTCCTGTATGTCTTGGACCTCACAGGTTAATGAGGTCAGTAGAAAAATGTTTGCTGCGTTAAGCTCTTTACGTAGATTACGTAATTTCCTTCCCACAGTTACTAAAGTTACGCTCGCCCAGTCTCTTCTTCTGCCTATCCTTGACTATGCTGATATTTGCTATCTTGACATTACCGAGGAGCAGCTTAATAAGCTTGAGCGCATTCAAAATTTATGCATTAGATTTATATTTGGGCTTCGCAAATATGATCATATCTCCGAATTTCGCAAACAGCTCAAATGGCTCCCGATCCGCCTTCGCAGGAATACTCACATTCTCTCCGCGTTGTATAGTGTGCTGTTTAATCCTTCTACTCCTCTTTATTTAAAAAACCGTTTCCAGTATCTTTCTCTTACCCATAATCGGTTCCTTCGATCCTCCTTCAATCTTTCTCTCTCTACACCTTTGCACTCTTCTTCCTTTTTCAAGAAATCCTTCACCGTAACCGCTGTGCGATTGTGGAACTCCTTACCTCTACATATTCGTCGTGCTAAATCTCTTCACTCTTTCAAAATTCTTGTTAAATCGTATTATTTAGAACGCTATTAGATAAATTACTTTACCTTTCTCTTACTCTTTTCATTTAATCTATTATATGATATTTTATATATAACTTTCACTTACTTTTATTTGTATGTATTATTGTGTTTTATTATTATTATTTTGTATGCCCCCCCTCTTTTTGTAACTTTTGTTTGCATCATTCCTCTACGCAAAGGTTGTCTGGAAGAAATCACTTTCAGTGATAAGACCGCCTATTGTACATACTTTAATTAGTTTTAACTGTATTGATGTTTCTGTATTGTGGTGTACAAAAAAGAATAAATAAATAAATAAATAAATAAATAAGGCGCAATATAAACGTTAATCATGGACTAGTCAATGGTGCTATAGGGTGATCCGTCATGTAGAATGGCTTGCTTTACGCTGAAACCAGCTGGAAGTGGGAGAACTGCCTCAAGCTCTATTTCTTGAGTTTGATGACTCTCGTATGACTGTCAACCAACCCGGCATTGGTGTCCGCATTGAGCTTTGTACTACTGAATTTGATGCTTTACGTGGTAAAGGAAAGATCGAGCGACGTGTGCTTCTACTAATTTTGAGCTGGGCAGTGACAGTACATAAATTACAGAAACAACTTTAGAGTAGGCTTATGTCGCTTTGAGCCGAATTATGTGACACTCAGGTCTAGCGATTAGTTCGTTAGATCCTAGAAAGTTACTAAATTAACCACACGATCGAAATTCTCTTGAACAATTGAACTGCTTACGTAAATTGTAACTTTCATGTCCGTTTTGTTTAATATGCCATCAATCATCTCTACATTTTGCCCGTCTTATAAAAGTAACACAGTTTTTATCTTACACACACTTGACATAGGAGAGTCTTAAGTAAAATAAATATAAAAAAAACCCGAATGCAAAAAAGACAATTTAAAAGTAATGCACTATAAATACCGAAACGAGATTGAGAATAGAAAACAAAATTAAAATAAAGTATAAACAAAGTAAACTCTACTTCAGTTTAATAGACTATATTATGAGTTGAAAGTTTAAGTTAAATAGCATTAGTAGAATATTAAGTTTAGTAGCATCCGGGACCGAATTGCAAATTACTTACATAACCGGAAGAAAAGAGATAAATTCCGCTAGATTTTTGCCATGTGTTTTGTTTTCGGGATGTTTGTGATAGGAAAAGCTAGAAAGATAACTATCTCGTTTTTACCTGATATAAATAGCATATCTTCTATATAATAATATACCTGGGAGCAGCGTCAATTGTATGCGTCTGGTACTGAGATAGCAATAGAATTGTGGCGGTTATGGCAAAACAAATTGTAGAGAACTATAATAGAACAGCAATGTATTGTTACACACTCATTTATATATAAATTAATTTACCTGGCTACAAATAACATTTCTACATCAGCCTGTTTAAAATTCCTACAGGAAGCGGATTTACCTACCATAATCGACACGTATATCAGAAGTATCATTTAACTCCTTTATAATTTCGCATTTCAAATTTACTATCATAAGAAGATTACACTTTTTAAAAAAATAAGGTTTATTCAAAAATGACTGAAATTTTAAGATGAATACTAAAATATGATACCTACGATTCGATATATTTTAAATTCATAGGAATTGGTCTGCACGACCGCAGAAATATCACAGTCGCACAGTTTATATTTATAAAAGAGAGGTGAGAATTGGAGTGCTATCAAACTGGCATTCTATATTAGTAGTGAGGGGTAATGACCACGCATCTATATTTTGACTAATCGAACAAATGTGGGTGTCTATGGGCAACGGCAAACAGCATTTACTTAAACATCAGATGAACTGTGTGCTTGTTCGTCACCCTAAAGGCCTATTTACACTTCGACAAGTACAGTAGCGAGTTTAGTTACAAGGCAGTTGACAGTAAATATCAGTTAAGTTGGTAGTAGCGTTCGAATTGCTTCATGGCGAGTTTAGTAAAAAAAGTACAATTATATATATTGACGAACGCGAACACGTTGCAAACTTATGCACTGAACTAAACTCGCTGTTTCACACGAGCGGCGAGTTTAGTTGCTGGTGTCGTATCGAAAGACGCGCGGGAGGGCAATAATTCGAAATTAACTCGCCGAAAAATATACCGGCCCTCTATCTCGTTCAACTTAATCAATAATTTGCTACTTAACTCACTGATCCGTCAAACGAGATAATTTAACTCGCCAGGTTTGCAAGTTAACTCGCTACTGTAGTTGTCGAATTATATATCGACCTTTACTTTCATAAATAAGATAAGAAATCACAAAATTGAAGTCATATGAGAATAGACAAAAATACGAACCAATAAAAAGGCCACTGAATAAATAGAAACCAGCATTGCAGTTGGTCACGAGCAGCAGATTAAGGATCTGTACCGAAGCAATCATTCCAATAGTTCCTGCAGTCGAGGTCAAAGCTACAGCCAGCGCTCTGGAACACAATCAAATCAATTGAAGACGTTAAAAACCCAGAAATACTTTAATATTAAATGAAGTCTTTTAACAGTATTCCATGTGAGGCCGAATCTGCGCCCTGTAATGTTGCAGGCGGTGTGCCGGCATGAAATACTGATCCGCTCTGCTGAGCACGCCAAGATTTTTAGAGGCCAATTTGGCCTGCTCCTCCAAGTGACCACGAAACTGCACGTCACCCGATATGTCGACGCCGAGGATTCCGATACTGGCTGAGGCAACAAGAGGAGTGCCTTGAAACTAAGGAGATACTGATGAGATAGATAGAGAGGCGGTTAACGTTCAAACTTGTGTCTTCCGAGGGTTAAACTGGACTAGATTTAGTCCCCCAATCCGAGACTTTGTTCAGCAAAGACTCGACTTCAGTCACAACTTCGTCCCGGCACTCGGAGACGTTTTCTCGAGAAATATTGGCACGACCGGTGTACAGAGCGTCACCAGTGCTGTCATCCGCATAGCAATGAATGTTACCGGTTTGCAACATATCATTGATATGCAGAAGAAACAGCGTTGGTGATAGCACGCAGCTTTGTGGAATCGTATCATCGTCTTTTTTTATATTTGGTTTTTCTTAAATACTTGATCGCCGGTTATTAATGTCTGCTATACTTCACCGTAGGCCTTATTATACTTCCTAGCTTTTTTGTTTTATAATGTATTTTAGATCACTTTTAAAATATTATAAACGTAAATTAATCGTACGCTTTTATTACTAAACTAGTGTCGTAGTCAGAATACGACGTGGTTTCAGCTGTACAAACAGTGTAAAGACAAAGTGTGTCGAAGAATTAATACTTCGACATTAGAAGCTATTAAATTATGTGTTAAATATTTGATCCTGCGCCTAAGCTCACTCAGACCGTGTCGGATTAATTGTGAAGGAATAGAGAGTGCACCTGTGCTTACGCGTAAATTCGGACACTATAATTCGGTACCGTGTAGATTTGCTAGTCTCTGTGGAGACCAGCCCGTATGAGAAAAATTCGATTGAGGTCTTCTCAACCCAATTTTCAACTCAATCTAACTGTCGTCTCAACTCAAGACACTACCGTCGCACTGATGATAATCGCGAGGAATGCGTTTGTTTGTCAGTTTATTCATCATTATTCTAATGCCTTTAAATGCTGTTAGGCGAGGAATTTTTTTTTAAAACTTTAATTCTTAATTGTCTATAAAAAGCCTATTTAAATGATTTATCACTAATAATTAATATATTACGTATAGTTTGATTGAGTCCCTTATAGCTTTATTAATTAAAGGCTTTATTACCCCACCGTAGTAAAATAAGGGCTACTAGCAAGGTTTTTAGAAATGTTTAATTTCGTTTTTCTTTATGGCAAATGTAACAATTTTTTGTTCCTACTTTGTAAAAACTGTACTCAGCCTATGATTTTTATTGAAATCTGTAGACCAAATTGGATATTTCTCACTTTTTTGTCGAATCACCCTTAGCTGGGCCTTATTATCCGCAGGTACTATATAAGATGGATTAATTAGAGTGTATTCTTGATATACGGCTACTCATTTATTTATCGTAAGTAAGTATTATCGTATAAGTACAATATGGTTACGATAAAGGCATTTTTGAAACACAAAATTGACCTTGATGGGCTGAGAGTAAAGCACTACCTAATAACGCTTTGCGTTATATGGCGTGCAATAGAACTTATTATTTTTTAAAGTACACAATTATTCAAAAAATATTCTTGTATATTTTTTACCAACGCATTACTGATATAGATATAAACAACACTAATAATGAGCCGCAAAATAAAAAAATAGGAAAACATATTTGGTAAAATTAAAAAAAAAGCAAATAATGATTCCTCATATTTATTAAGATAATACAGGGGAGTTTTTGTGGGAACTGGGCCACCGATTTTGATACGTAAAAGTGGTGCAATTTTGTGTATTAAAAGTCTGTGTAGTGAACAATGAGCCGAAATAACGAAACAAATGCTCTAATGCTGACGTGTGCCTCATGATAATGTTTAGACGCCTTGAGATACTATCGTCATCGATTGTCTACTGGCACAATCTGCCATCAAAATTCCTCAAAAATTTCGAGTCCATTAACAAAGTATCGTCCATTAACAAAATCGAGTCCATTAAAAAAGAAAAATACAGGATGCCGTCGCGGGGACTTGAACTTGGAAGTTGACCGCCGACGGAAACGTCGTAATAATACCCTTTGGATTGCGTTTCGTGTTATAATGTATTTAAAATGGTTTGAACTTGTGATTTGGAGTTTGATACACAAAAGTGGTGCGATATAGTATATTACCTAAATGTCTGCACATGTACACTATTATTTTATTTTTTTTATGTGAAAACAATGTTACAAGTGATGTTATTTGTAAAGCAATTTTTAAAATTTTTATTTTATTTAAAATTTTATGTCATAATTAAGTTTTCCCACACAATGTATCAATGTTTTTGGAATAAATGACTTGTGACCAAAAACAAAACTGATATAAAGGATAATTTCCTCTTGCTTGGTACTGACGAAAGGACAACCGTACTAGTCCATTAAAAAAGAAAATAATATAATTATACAATTTAACAATTATTTAAATAAGATTGAGGAGTCATCCAGTCGTCTAAAAGAAATTACTACTTTATTTAGAAATTACTCTTTGGATGCACGTCCCATTTTTAAATCGCCTCGATGATATTATAAGGAAAACTATAATAGAATTTCTAAATTGTCCATTAAACGAAAATTCCTGGGTTCAGGCCGCTCTTCCGATTAGACTTGGTGGTCTAAGAATAAGAAGAGTTTCCAGCGTAGCACTTCCGGCTTTCTTGTCTTCAGTTCATAGCACGTCAGACCTCATTGGAACAGTTATTAACCCATCACTCGGTGATGTAGAGGTCTCGTGCTTGGCTGAGGCCAAGGAAGCCTGGATCAATAAGACCGGGCCGAACCAAGTTTTTCCAACAAACCCAGCTTCGCAGAGGCATTGGGATGAGCCACTCTGTATCCAGGTTCAAAAAAACCTACTAGAAAACTGTGCGAAACCTACAGAGCGAGCCCGTCTTTTAGCATCTGTGGAGAAGGAGTCGGGCTATTGGTTGAATGCGCTGCCCTCATCGAATATCGGTACACTCTTGGACAGTACTACTTTCTCTCTATCAGCCTGAGATTGGGTTTAAAAACCAATGAGCTCCATCGCTGCCGCTGTGGTAAAGAGGTTGACATTCTTGGCCACCACGGCCTGGCATACCATCGAAGTGCTGGTCGCATCCCTCGCCATGCAGCCATTAATGACGTCATTCGACGAGCCTTAACCAGTGCAAACGTACCTGCAATTTTAGAGCCAAACGGTATATTGCGGGACGATGGCAAGAGGCCTGATGGAATGACGCTCATTCCATGGAAAATGGGCGCTCCTTAGTATGGGATGCAACTTGTGTTGACACATTAGCGCCATCACATCTTGCGGCGACTGCACAGCAGGCAGGCGCTGCTGCTGCTGTTGGCGAGTCTAACAAGCGGCGCAAATACGTAGCCGTTGGAGAGGGATACATGTTTGTGCCGTTTGGTGTAGGAACGCTGGGGCCGTGAGGTCCCGATGCAAGACGTTTGTACAGGGATATCTCATCACGCCTTGTCAATGTCTCTGGTGACCCAAAAGCTAGAAGATATTTTGGTCAGCGGATCAGCCTCGCAATACAGCGAGGCAACTCAGCCAGTCTTCTGGGCACACTACCAACAGACGGCGGCGATGTAGCAAGTATTTTTTACTTAAATTAAGCGTTTTATACTGTATAATTTTGTAAAATACTATTTTCCTTTAACTTGTATATTATGTTAATTAGAAATATTTATGTTTTATTAAATGATTTAATGTTTTTATAAACTTAAAAAAAAGATACTTAATTGTGTATGAATTGATCGATGAGGCGTTAGATATTTATTGAACGGTGAAGGTTTCATCCTTCCAAGTTCCCAAATTTTGTTATATTCCAAACATTTTTTTTATAGAAGAGGGGGCAAACGAGCTTGCGGCTCACCTGATGTTAAGTGACTACCGCCACCCATGACCAACCGCAACACCAGGGGAATTTCAGGTGTGTTGTCGGTCTTTTAGAAAGGAGTAAGCTCTTTTCTTGAAGGTCCCCAGGTCGTATCGGTCCGGAAAAATCTGTTTCCTTTTCGCTATTTAAAGTTTTATATTTTCAAAATATAGATATTTACAAAAGTAGATAGCATTTTCAAAAACGTTTTATTTGTTGTACCATTCGTTGCAATTATAGCAGTATTTGTATTTGTGATTTATGTATAATATTTAAGGAACCATACAAATTGAATTAAATAAATAAATAGAAAATTACCTGAGATGTGTAGGGAACAATTTAACAGCAATGGCCACGTACATTCCGTAAACCAAACCACCACTCAAGAAGATCATGAAGAAAACGACGCTAGCGTAGGCATTAGATATGAGGTTCACTATGATGCCTGACATTCCACATACAACTGTAACGCATATTACCAAATTGCGGTTGCCAACTCTGTTCACCACCTGGATTATAATAAAACATGTTTTTTTAATCTGTATCTATTTAATTCATACAGGTATGTATGGGAGAATAAGTCTTCACCTGTATACCGTTACCGTTACAGGATACTAAAGTCTACTGCTGAACGTAGATAGAAATAGAAATAGAAACTTTTTTATTCAATGTAGATTATAAAAATACTTATTGAAAGTCGAACGACTTTTTTAATTTACCACTCCGCATATATCCTCCCCATAGATCGTCTCATAGGGGGAATTTTATTACACGGATCTTGGCAAGTTAAATTATAATAATAACATCTTTAATATAAAGGATTTACGTAAATTAACGCCTAATTCTATTAATTATCTGAACTTATTAATTTTTTACTTACCAAACTTAGCAAGGCGTTAAACAAAGACTGCATGGCGCCCACTAACAATACAAACAGTAGTGATGTTATATTCAGGGTGCACGGTGCGACGTCTGGCTGCAAAAGGTAATTTAAAAGACAAAGTAAAGATTGCGCCCTTTAAGCTAAAATATTCTTCAACGAACTCCCAATTTTCTTAATTGAACCTAAACCTTATTATGTCATAATTTAGTGACGAATTGGTGACTATTAGTGACTAAAGAAAGAATAATATCAAGAAAGAATGCCAAGATAAAAAAATTCATGACCCAATAATTTAGGAGACAACCCTTTTATTGGCAGGATTCTTGTTTTAATTCAAGCTAGCTGCCTTCCCATTACTTTATTTAGCCTATTGGCTTGCTTGAAAGACGCAAAATTTAACGAAAATATAACATTGTACTCTTTTCACTACAATACATATGATTAGAAGACTGCAGATACGAGTTTTTGACTTATATATATCTGTCGATACGTTAGATACCACGAACTTAATAAGTTTATATCCGTAATTCCACACCCTGTCGTGAACTTCATCTAACAATTATGTTTAAGCTTATTTTGATTTGTTAAAAGGAAAATCAGAGTATTGTTTTGTATACAGAAATACCTTGATTTTAACCATTTTTAATTTTTTTTAATAAATATCACAACCTCAATGTCGTCTAAAAAGTTATATTAAAAATTTCATCCCCTATTTTGCCATCCTGAAAGATGTGAAGCCACTTCTGAAGTGCAACCCATTTAACAAAGAAAGAATCAAAAAATTCTTCACAATTGACATAGATATCGCGTAACAACTATACAAATAAATAAAATTGAAGTGTATTTAAATAGTGTTAATGTCAAAATACATTCAGTAAATTTTAAAAACACATTTTTTTATTCAGTCTGTCTGTTTTGTTCCGGCTTTCCGAAATGGCTGGACCAATTTTGTCGGTACTTTCACTGGCATATAACTGATATTATAAGGAGTAACCTTGGCTATTTATATTTTAGAAAAATAATTAAGATTCCGCGCAAAAATAATCCTAATTTACTCGTCTGGGATCTTGTCGTTTTCGTCCAGGATATCATCGGAATAGTGTCGGTTAAGACTTGCTCCTTGATCACTACTCACACTTGCGTGTGGCTCTAACGATTACGTGTACAGCTGCTAATATAACCTCTTAATCTCACTCAAAATCTCAGGTGTTCCGGAAACGATACTGCCACACTCAGTCTTCAGGTTTGACAGTTGATTTTTTCTGGCAAAGACTTTGGAGCCCTAGTTCCACTAGATCGCTTCTTTAATACGAGCAGTATTAAAGTTGCGTAAGTTCCGCCGCATGCTTGTAAGATCTGTCTGTTTAGTTGCCTGTATGCTGTCAAATCTGTTGAAGATTACAGCTTGATTTCCCGTCTTAAAGCCATGATATTAAGAGTGTGATCGGAGAATTTTTGTGGTCTTCTGCGGCGGGTCTTGCAGAACTTCGCTCCGACCACATGGACAACATGGAAAGATTTCGGGCCTTTGGGCCGAGAGGGACGGAGCGTTGACTTCATTAGATGAGACCTCTTCAACTTAACCTAATTTCGACCACGGCGGCCAGTCTCAACAGAAACTCATCATCTGCGCAGGACAGGACTATAGCATAGAGTAAGGAGTTTCTTACACATGTGATTATAATGTCCTAGTGTATGTGGAAGCACGAGTGTACACTCTATTTCTCACTCCCATAGTCCAATAGTACGGTAATACTACACTACTACTACTTTCCCATGCACGAGGGAACTTCCTGACTTCGGGTTACTACTGAGAATTTCTTGACAGAAGAACTAATGAATTCTTTTTATGGCCCAACCCGTGATTCGAATCCAGGATCCAGTAGTGGTTTATGACCACTAGACCTAAACTAGGTATTATAAGAGATTTAGTTCAATATAACTAATAGCATATTAGGACTCACATCAACTGGCGCTTCTATGCTTTCTCTGATAACGTTACACAGACTCTTGTCGATGCCTCCTCTTGTTTTCACCATCTTCACGAAATGATTGGCAATTGTCGGCACCCAGACCGAGAACGATCCAATTCTGCATAAAATGATTTCATTACAAACGAATAATTTAACGTCCTTCCATTACATTCCAGGAAAGTTTTTTGAACAAGGGCCTCTCACACAGATTGCCTCAGAGTGGGGATTTTTCCATAGTTGCCACGCTTAGTAGGCGAAATGCAGTTTTTTTTTTAAATTTTGAGTTGTTATTAGTTGTTGATGCCCATCTTTTGTTTCAGTTTCCCTCTATCGCCTCTAACGACATCCATGGGACGAAATGTGGTAGTGTTTTTTATAGCATTAGGTGACAAATGAACACACACTTCACCTAATGGTAAGTGGATGCTGTGGCCCATAGATATCTACATTTAACCTCGATTGAGAATCAAAATGCAGATGCGTTGTCACCCTTGAGGACTACGATGGAATACCTCGATTCCATTTAAAAAGGGTCTCCGGTTCTTTACACTCACCATACGAAGCACAGCAGCATTACGCTGCTATTTTTTGCTGGTGTGCTGATATACTTACACCGCCACTATATAGTTAAATGTCATATACAAGCAATTCTAAGTCTATTTATATAATACAATTATAAAATAAAGTAAGTATTTCATTGTAACATTTACAAATGTCTACTGAATTGATAATATATATACGTATTTACTCTAAGTCATTAACCTTATTAAATAACTTCTTGACAAGGGATTATATTATATCTAAGATCTAATATAATCAAGATATATTGCTTGAATAAATTATAGCTGCAAAAGTAGCTATAATTTATTCAAGACATAAGGCCGGAGAGCACATGAGTAAATAAACTGAATTATTTACTAATGTTCTGGCTAAAAAGAGGCTATCTTATCCTAGATACTTGTTTCTATTAAAAAATATCGTGCTTGATAATCTTTATCTCATTCTAACAAATTTACACGATCTGTAACTATTCATAGTTCTATGTTTCACAATATTTGTCAAGAATTGAATCAATTTATTACTGTAGGTATTTAAGTAGAGTTTTTTGTGATATTTGGTTATTATAATACTAACTTGTGCCCGGCACACGTTTTAACATCTTTTTGTCATACGCCTTCGCGGGTACGTACACAACTATTCGACAAAGTTTAGTCATTATCGTTGCAACACCACCAACTTTTTGACTTCAAGCTGATACTGAGAATTTGTTGACAGAAAAACTCAATAATATATTTTGTTTTTGACCCGACCCGGGATTCGTACCCGGAACCTCATAATCAGCATTGACGTTCACGACCAAAAGACCAACGAGGCAGTCAAAAAGTATTAAGTATCGTTTTTGTAAGTAAATGAACATTCATTCGCACAATATTTTCTATCAATAACTTACGCAAGTAATAAATCCTTTCCTTATTTATACATATAAAAATCTGTAGAAAAGTCGTGTCTGTACTACATATTTATTTTTGAAAAAACAAGTCTAGGGGACTAAGTAAAGGGTACTGAAGTCAAATTAATGGTTTTTAAACATTTGTCAGTCAGTCTGTCTATCTGTACATTTGTGTATTCACGAGTCACGCAAAAACTGCTGGACCGATTTCAATGAAGTTTTGTATGTACGTAGTTAGTAACCTGGGGCAATTTATAGGCTAATTTTTATCCGATTACGGAACTTCAAAAAAGAAGTTTAAGTATTTTTCTTCTTTTAGATGTTAATTTTCTGTTATAATTCTGTTAGTTACATGTATATGCAGGATGACTGGTGTTTTTAGAATAAATAAAATATTAATAAATAAAGTTTCAAATTAGTTTTAATCTCTGTTTAATGATTTGAAACTACACCGACGAACTATATTTTAGTTTTCAAAACAGCTCTATCTATTATCAAATAGATAAAGTACGTTTTGCCTACAGTTACTCATTAAATAATATAAAATATAACTAAATAAATTATATTTATATGTTTGAATAATGAGATATATAAAATTATATAAAAATCTTAACGTATATTTTTTAGCTTTGTCGTTATTTTATTTTAAAAGTGTAATAATTTAAATAGATAATAGTGACGTTTATCAAAAATACAAAAATCTACTTATATATGTCAATTCTTAATATAATATATAAACTGATTTAAACTGGTCTGCCTGCAATTATTGCAAAATTCTCATTATCCTTATAGTGTGATCAAAAAGATTTCTATACAACACGTAACATAATTAACGCACTTTGAGAAAGTAGTTTGTTCAGAATCGTTTACTGAATCGATTCCTATTATTTTTAATATAGGTAATTTTTATCCTAAAAATAATTAAAACTACGTAAATTACAGTCACACTAAATATTTTATTTTATTATTTTGACTGTGAAAACAAACTGAAATGGACCGTAACTTAAGGCAATAAGACTTTTAAGAGTGCAGTTTTATTTGTATTATTACTAATTCTGTCATTTAATAAAAATAAAGAAAAATGAACTTTATTTCAAGCATGTGAAAGTCTTTGCGTTCGTAGATTTGTACTGTGACCACAACATTCTTCCGGAATTAGTATAACTAATTTGATAAAAAATCAGTGCATAAAAATGTTTAACTACAAATTCAGTGTATGTATTACGATTATAACATAATATACTGATTGGGATGTCTGAGGGTGTGCGTTAATTACGTTACATATTGTATAATTATATCGTGGCTAAATAGTAAACTGATCACATCTTAAAGTAGTTTATCATTTCGTGAAATATTAGTAGTAGTGCTTGTACTGCTTGTTGACTATGTAATAATATAGCTTGTCCATATCAATGAATAGTGATCGTTTGATGATAACAAACTAAAATAACTAAACAACATTGCTGTTTAATATCATATCGTCAAATAGGTTTTCACCGCCATCAGAATCAAAACTTTAAATACCCAGACCGGTGGCGATCATCAGGATGATTTACTGCAATTGCCACGTTTGGCGAAATCACTTACGATACTGTTATACTCGTATTTAATACTGTATACAAAATCTTTAATTAAGAGAGAAACTCTTTAGTAGCATATATTGGCTGTCTATCGGCATAGCTTTAATTTCACCAACTTTATTTGTTATCAAGTTATATGACGTAAATAATTGAATATTAAGTGCGCTGTGAGATTTTTAACTCTATTTGATGGAATAGTTCTTGGCATCGTTTGATGTCTAACTACTATGTAGATATGGTCAACCATCGTGCAAAAACTCTGTTCTAGTTTTTATTAATTTTATTTAAACAAATACGAGAGCCGTGTAGCAGGCCGTAAGATTTCATCATGGCACGGTAGAAGAACGTTTACGATTCCCTCGAGGACAAATAATATCTATTATAAGAATTTTTACGTGCTGACTTATCACGTGTCCGATAAAGTGATGGAAATAACTTCGTGGAGAAACCTAGACGTCTGAGTAGTAAAAAAACATAACAAACATCAAAACATCGCGAGGAAACCTGCATACCTGGTACCCCAGTTAGTAGGTACGTGTTAGGGTCAGTACAGCGAAAACTTTGTTGACCAAAAACTGGCTGCGGCCTGTGCCCAATTATGACAATGACGAGATGGAGGTTGCTACTTTTTTACTTTTAATGAGGCAATCATGCGTAGAATTCATCATCGTCATCATTACAGCCTATCAAATGTCCACATAGGCCTCCCCCATACATTTCAAATAGGCTGGATATTTGCTATGACGGTATGAGGTGGTGGATTCTCTTTCACCGCCACAACATGGCGAACATTTTTCTACTCCCATTCACGAGTGTGGTTCTCCCACTCTTTCACTGTGAATTGATCTTCATTTGTCAATTTCAATTTATAATACTCTTCGCGGGGGGGGGGGCTTCGTAAATCATCCTTGGTGGAAATCGCGGTTCTTTGGCGAGGATTTATGGTCTATCAGATCTGATAAAATGGTTGGAACGATACGGTCGGTCGGTCGGTGCTTCTCATCAGCAATATGTTCTTTCACGAGAGTTTTTATGGATCTTTTATCCAAAGATGCGTAAAATAACCCACGTAAAAAAAGATAAAATTAAATGCAATAAAATAGGTAAATTTAATATCATTCCATGAGTAATATTCGCGCAAATATAAGAAATTATTATAGAACTTCATCTATGCAATTTTGCAGTCTACTTAAACGTAAAAATAATATCAGTATTTATTTTATGATGCCAATCAATATTAAATGGGTCCAATGATATGAATCAAATATCGCAAATAAACATCATACCGTAAATTAATGGACGACAGTGAAATTCATCATTGTTTTATTAAAAATAAATTTAATGATGAAAGAATGTAAAGTACAAAATGTAAATTACGCAATTTTGATTTCAAGACAATGAACCTTTCATATGTATACATTGGAAGACACGCCTGATATATAAAAATGATAGGTGTATTTAGACATAATATACTAATGCAATTATGAAAAACTCATTTGTTCACGTGTTCCCGTAACATATTATATCTATGCCAAATAACAATCATCTACGTCTTTGAGAATTAAAAAAATTCTTTGACAAACAAACACAGACACAGAGGTAACTCTGATAGTGATCGAATTTCGGTAAATTTGGCACGGAACAACATTCATTAATGTTGCTAAATTGAAGCCCACGCGAGCGAAGGCGCGGGTTAAAAGCTTTTAACAATAAAACAGTGCAACGGACCAATCAGTATGGCGCAGTTACAATTCGAATATACCGTAAATTATAATATGGACTGGCCATAAAAAAAACTCAGAAAGCTTCTGAGAACGTGTGAGGATTATGCAGCTGGTCAGGGGCTGATCTATAATTGTAAAAAGAGCCAGTGTATGGTCTTTCAGAGTGGTTCTAATAAGGTGACGGAGATGCCTTCTATTCTACTTAATGGAATACCGTTAAAGAGAGTATATGAGTTTAAATACTTAGGCCATATTGTCACCCCCACACTGAGAGACGATGCTGACATTGAGCGGGAGCGGAGGGCGCTGTCGGTCAGAGCGAACATGGTGGTCCGGAGGTTTGCACGGTGTTCGGAGGGAGTGAAAGTAACTCTTTTCAAAGCTTATTGCACTTCCTTTTACAGCTGCAGCCTGTGGACTGACTATGCGCAAATATCGTACGGTGCCCTACGCGTCCAGTTTAATAACGCGTTCAGGATGTTGGTGGGGCTCCCCCGGTACTGTAGCGCATCGACGATGTTCGCGTGTGCACGTGTGGACTGTTTTCACACTACAATGCGCAAGCGAGCAGCGTCACTGGTACGGCGAGTGCGGGGGGAGCCACAACAGCATGCTGACCGCGATAGCAAGTAGACTAGATTGCCCCTACATCAACCATTGTTGTGGCCTACACATTGTGCACAGTAGGAATTAATATGACATGTGAAGGGAAGATTAGGTATTTATTGTGAGTGTTTATTGTTTTTAATTACTTTAACATTGATTTATGATATATTGATTGAGATTTTAATTTGATTATTTTAAATTTTATTTTGATTTCAATTTAATTTAATGAACCTAATGTAATGTAATTTTTGTAATGTGACTGGTGATATAATTATACCCATATGAGTCTGTGTTACTTGATGAATAAATGATTATTATTATAATCACATGTTAATCATATGTAACACCAAAATTAATTAAGTAAGCACACCAACAGAAAAACCGGATTAAATGGATGTGCCTAAACAGCAACAAACTGAAAATTTAACGCATAATTTACACAGTTTCGTAGAGTGCAAACGCAGGCACCAATAAAACATACTGTGTGATTCCTTTATACAAGTTTCAAAACATTACAAGTTGGATTTTTTTGGTGAGGTGAGTAGTAAAATAATTTAGAAAATAGATGATAATGAAGGACATCTTTCCATATTGATTAGTTGTGGTTACTCACTGTTGTAACAGAAACATTATAGTAATGATCACGGTGTATTTTAGAAGGGGTCCTTTAAATAGTGGCACGATTTGATCCTTCGATGACGTCGGTCCGACAGGCTGTTCCGCATCTAACCTCAAACCCTTTATCTGAAAAAGTACAGTTCCTTTAAATTAGCTGTCACTATGATCAAAATTTACCGGCTGGTTGGAGTTTGAGTACTTAATTGGTAAAAATAGTTAACGAAGGTGATTAATTTTGTTAATAAAAAAGTAAACGATAAATATTACTTGAATTTCTGTTGCTGATTTTCCATTGTTCCATCTGTGTATAGTTTTAATAATATCTATAGCTTCTTCTTCACGTCCTTGTGCAAACACATATTTTGGGCTCTTCAACATGAAGCACAGCCAAAGAGCAGCTAAAAGACCTGGTGTAGAGTAGACGAGGAGTAGAGTCCGCCAAGAGTTCCAATAGATGCCCAAACCGGGAATGTAATAAGAGAAGGGCAGCGGAATAATGGGTATGGCGATTACTGAAAAAAATGTGCTTAATATTAAAATAAAACTTAATATAACGTATAACTTAATAAAAGGTGACTATACAAGCTTGCAAACAAATTCAAACTTTGAAGATTATAGATGTGTTATCATCCTTGAGGGCTAAGATGAAATGACTTACAACGTATAAATACTAAATCTCTCTCACCGGATCGAAAAGCCTTTTTCAGTAAACGTCAAAATATAAATTTCAAATTGTATTGATATACATAGTTACGTTATTTGCTTTGGAAATAGTGCTTACCTGCCAGAATACCTTGAGATAATATGAAAACGCTGTTAACCAACAACACCAGTAGGTTTATTTTGCGCTTAGGAACGCTCTCACTGAGGAAGATCATAGCTAATGGGAATATACTTGCTGCGCTGAAAGAAAAAGAAGAAACGTGAAATAACAAATTAAAACGTGCCATTGTTGTCACTGACCAATACTAACTTTAGAACGAGTAGATAAAAAATGAAGTAAGATATCGGAAGCTGTTGGAATAGGGATGAATTTGAAGCCCACTATATGATTATCGGTCAAAGCTAAGACGGAAATCTTACAGGTTGGAATGATTGATGGACTGCCCTTCCAACAAGAGAAAATTTCGGGTTATTTACTGATTTATTAATGTTCTTATGTTTAACAATTCTTTTATGTTGTAATTATGATCATGTTGATGATGATGGACTGAGAATTGTTTAAGATATTACAAACAACACAAGAGGTAGCTCAGAGCCGTGGTAGCTCAGATGGTTAGCGCTCGCTGTAAATTTCACATTACGCGAACAAACCGGGTTCGATCCACGCCGGCACCAATAAAATTTTCAATTGCAGTTTTAGTGCTGAATTACCACCAGCTCGGCGGTTAAGGAGACATCGTGAGGAAACCTGCATGTCTTTGAAATAACAATCGAAAACATGTTAAGTTCGCCAACACGCATTTGGGGCAGTACGCCGAACAATCCCCTAATACCCTCTCAGAAATTAAGGGAGGCCTGTGCCCAGCAGTAAGACGTAACTATATAGGCTGTATCTTTAATAAATACACGTATTGCAGGGTGTAGTGCAACTTGTATTGATAATATTTTACAAATATTGTACCAACCAAGAAATTCATAATTCAAATACAAAGTTCAGATCACTGTGAACAACTGGTTTCTTTACCATAATATATGCACAAAAAAATAGGAAATTGAGAAAATTGTGATTGTTCCGATAAATGGAAAACATCTGGAAAGATTTAGAAGTAATATCGTAAAAAAAACCTTCAATCGCTTTCTTAAAAGAACAATTCAGGTGTATTATTTACCCATATAAACATTGAATTTAATAAAACAATTACTTCTAAAACATTCTTCAGTAACAGTCGCAAGGATTTAATGAGTGGACGACGATAGATAGATAAGATTATATGGACTTTACCATAAAATATCATATAGTTTTTCCGATATTTTTAGAGAATATATCAAAAATTATTCTAAAAAGTTTTTTAATACCTGTTTAAAAGAATTTAATCTTGAAAAAGTATTACCACAACGTATTGTAAAATATTTCAAAACCCTTTGCTAATACCAGTATCGAATCTAGTGTATTTACTGATTTAATGAAATATAGTAAAGATTCTTTATTTAAATCTGGTAGTACATTGAACCCCGCTAATTTTAGACCTATTTCTGTACTACCCACTCCCAGTAAATTTTTGAAAAGATAATTTTAGATCAATTGTTAACTTTTTTTAAATTACTTCGTAAAATCAATTTAGTTTCACATGGAGTCACTTGACGACTGACGCCGAAGGTCGAGCTTATGAAATATATTTATAATGCCTAGGAAAGTTCCCTAGATACCTTAGGTATTTTTTGTGATCTTTCCAAACATTTCAATTATGTTCGTCACGAGATATTAATCAGTAAACTACAACATTACGGTGTCAAAAATTTTACACTTAGACTGATTATTTCATATTTTAATAACAAAACTCAAAAAGTCATTATCAATGGTAATTCCTCCGGATCAGTAGAATCAATGAGCGTTCCTCAGGGCTTGATTCTTGGACCATTCCTGTTCTTAGTCTATATTAATGACTTAACTTATCTCGTAGGGGACAATTACGATATAATATTAATTTCTGATGATACCTCTTTAATTTTCAAACACAATCGACAGTCAATTAATTTTGACAATTTAAACAATGCTCTATCGAAATTATTACATTGATTTAACGCTAATAATTTGCTCTTAAATGACAATAAGACAAACTGTATTAAATTTACTATACCTAATGTTAAACATTCAAATACCAATGTGCTCTTAAATGGGGTAGAGTTGAGCCTTGTGGGTGCCACTGTTTTTCTTGGTATTACTATTGATGCAAAGGTTCAATGGGGCCCCTATATATCTAAATTAGCAGGCAGACTTAGTTCTGCAGCATATGCTGTAAGAAAGATTAGAAGCCTCACCAATGTTAAGACAGCTATATTAATTTATTTTAGTTACTTTCATAGCGTAATGTCTTATGGAATCTTACTGTAGAACTGATACCGATACTGAAATTGAAGTCAATTTTTTTTTTTGCAGAAGAGAGACGTTCTGGCGATTTATTTCTAAATTTGTAAAGAGTCTCTTAGAGAAAAATTTAAAGAAAAAAAAAACATAATATTAACTTTGGCGTCGCAATATTTTTATGAAAATGTAATGTATGGACATAAAAACATAAATAGCTTCCATAAGAATAAAGATACTTAAATACTAGAAAAAAAAACGTGAGCTTGTAATACAAGCTACTAGACGCCACAGAATTAGTAATTAATTTATGAGGCAATGTATACGCTTTTACAACAAAATCCCACAAAATGTACAAAGTTTGTCATTAAACAAGTTTGAACGTTTTAACGTTTTATTAAAAATTTAGGAAAAATTGTACAAAAAGGGTTATTATAATATAAAAGAATACATAAATGAAAATAACCCCTGGGAATGAGATGATCACCACCATGTTGGTTGTATAAAAATACATTCAAAAATTATACAAAATCAATTTATTGTAAATTGAATTATGTTTAAAAAAAGTCCCACTGTTTTTTGTTGGTCCTTCCCAGGACAGAGGTTTTTTTCGTACCAGTGGTAAATAAAATATGACTTTCAATAAGTAATATTACAATAATTTTTATTCAATAAAAATCATTAATTTCATTTAATTTCAATACAAAACTAATTTTTCACATCAGAATAAGGTATTGCAGTCGCAAAAGTAAAGCAAAAGATTTTAGGCCAAGGAATTGTCCGCCCGATGCCCCAATACGTTTTGACGGACTTCACGCACATTTAAAATAGGTTTATTTAAATTCATCAAACATGCAGATTGCCTACCGATATTTTTCTTTACCAGCAAGCACGTGGTAAATAAAACTTTCAAATCGTAATTAATCATTTCATTGTTGCCGGCGGGGTCAGAACTCGGGTTGCTCGCGTACTGTGAAACTGTGGTATAAATTCACTATATAGGTTTATTACAGGCTATATCCTTGGTTTGTTCGTGGTCCTCGGGAAAGTAAATTGAGAAAGAAATTATTGTTCAACAGAAAGAGTAATTATAAAATGGAAACTAAATTTATTTCTAAGCTTTAATTAAAACACGAAAACGAGTCACTAAACAGATTACTCTATAAATACTTACCAAAATGCTGCGAGGGATGCCACAGTCAATAGCATGACCCAGTTGACAGAGAGGCTGGCGATACCGTTGATTACAGCCCCCGAGATGAGCGTAAAACGCAGTACCCGACGCCGTCCGAACTTGTCCCCCAAGTATCCACCCACAACACCACCCAGTATTCCACCTATTTAGGATGTATAGTGTGAAACGATATTCTTATCTTAAACATATTAGATAGAAATAGATTTATACGTTTAATCTTATCTTAGGCACTTATATATTTATTCTTATAAATGTCTTTAAGGCAGGGTAGAGTGAAAAGACTTTGGTTAAGCTAAGTCAGTGCATTTCATAATCTTCGAATGCATCACCATTTACCATCAGAAGGGATAATTCAAGTACTTGCTTATAATAGTAATATATTCTGATCTTATTGTGAAAGATTTTGTTTTTTCTAAGCTACCACATTTACCATCACAAATAAATAGTAGCTAGTTATGTATAATTTTAATTAGGGCCGAACCTACAAAACATATCTTGACCAGATCCATAGTTTACAAGTAAGAATACTCAATACTATAGTTCCAAATAAAATAAAAAATAAATTCAGGGATGACGTTAATGGTCTCTTTAAGCATTGTAAAATTTTACCAATACATATACAAGTACAAAATATTTTATTAAAAGAACTATTTTTTAATGAATCGCTAAAAATCCCGATTGAGCATTCTGTAAACACTCGAGCAATTTCTAAAAACCGTCTCAACGAGCCGCGTGCTAGCAATGCGTAAAGTAAGAGAACATGTAGCTACTTAATACCTCGGCTTATCAATAACTTACCATCAGAATTAGTGGACAATATCACTAAAAATAACATTAGGTGTAAACTAAAGTGTCACTTTCTTAAATTATTATAACGTATTTTGTCATTTTTTTTTATTGTTTGCGTATTTATTTCATGTTTTTTGTTTGTTTTTCCTTTTTATAGTATTTGCAATACAACATAACGCTATATTATTTTATAAAATTGTAATCTCTCGATAGCTTAAGTATAAACCTTAGTGGTTTTTTTTAAATGCTATCACTACAAATATGTGTAATGCTTGTTCATATGATAAATAAATGAAAAAAAAATTTGTTACATTGAGTAGCATCTTAAGCTTGATTGATTTTCCGTTTTAAGAAAATCACATTTCTATTACTAAAAATATACGAAAAAATTAGCTTATTTAACTCTTAGAAACTATGATGGTATTTCCTGCTCTATTTATTTTATTTATTATTTATGGGAATGCATCCCTATTACAAAATAATACAAAGGACAGACTTGATATCATGTGACATTATCTACCAGTCAACCCATGAGAGTTTGACGTAGGCGTAGCAATGTAGAATAAGTAAAATATAAAATGATAAATAAAAACAATTATATCTCGAGCAAATAAAGTATGGTATGTTAAATGCGTCGCTTCTATTAACATCTTCCTTGCACAACGTCTCTGTCTATACTCAAACCGCCGGTAGTCATAATAAGCAAAAATTAATGTGTTTCAATAAACTTTTATTATTTTTTGTATTTAGATATACTTTTCATTTTAGTTTCCAAATTGTTTTATTTTGTAGTCTGTATGATGACGTTACTCAATTCTTTTTAAATTGCTTTAACTCCTACCTACTACCTAAAATTCAATTGATTTTATATACTACGTCAATTTCAAAAACAATAACAGAGTTTTAATTATTTGTAATATAACGATATAACGTTATTAGTGTTGTTATTGTTATTGTTACCGCGTATGCTGACAGTACAAGCTCGTTGAGACGCCATTTCTAGTACCATTTTTGATCTGCACAAAATTATGTTGATTGCATATTCGGCTATTAATTTAAATTGACTTTATAGTCAAAGACCCTTTGAAGTTATTATTTGATAACCGTGCTATTAGTGTACTGTTGTAAAATAATTTAATATTCACTTTACTTTACATAAAATGTTTGATTTAAATACTATTAACAATACAGTCTATCAGGAATTCACTAACGAACATAAACTTCCTGCATAGATTCTCTCACAGGGCATATTTGCCATAGTTGCCGCACGTTGTAAGCGGGTTGGAAACCGCAGATTTTTATCTGAATTCAGCTATCATCAGGAACATTCCGCTGTCTATTTCCTATTTCCTTTGTTTCCATCCGTCAGCTCTTACGACACCACGAGATATTATAGGGTAGTGTATATTCTCACACCACCACTACTCAGTCAGCTCACAGCTGAATGCTCAAAGATCTCTATAAAGACAGCCCTCAACTAAGGTGGTCCAAACAGATGCAACGAAACACCGTCCTAAGACACCTGCATTCAACGACTCCCTGCGCGTCTCGTTATATCATCGTTGCAGTGGTACTGCCATCAGGGATCGAGCTTACAAGGTTATATGATTGCCCGATTCCTGATTACTATATCTTATTTACTTAACAAGTGTTGTGAAACACGCACCGAATAATTGTCCCGCTACTATATATCCTTGTTGAGCGTTGGTGGTCTTCAGTTCACACGCGCTTGCAGGTATGATGATGGAAAACGCGAAAAGAATACAAGCGTATGAAATTATATTGAAACCAGCCAAACTTGTCATGATATAGCTGTACGGACCAAATCCTATAAAGAAAACATTGTTGATTTGAGAATTGAAAAAAAAAACCTTAATGACCTTATCACGGGAAGTATACCTAAATTGGATATTACTAAATTGAAATAAATCTTACTGTTTGAATGAAATAAATACAAATTTCAAGAGTTTGCAAATTTTTTCATAATTTTTAAGTGGTTATAACTTTTAAGCCCATATAAAAGTGACTTTTACGTGGTAGAGCCATGCTGCAATTATATTAGTAGTATAGTTGTAGCACGAATGGGTCGGCTCGACCGGGGAAGGACCACGCTCTCACAGAATACCAGCGTGAAATAGTAGCTTAATGCTGCTGTATTTCGTATGGTGAGTGTAGAGAACCGGAGACCCTTTTTACTGGAAATGAGGCATTCCATCTCAGTCCTCACGGGTGACAACGCATCTGCATTTTGATTTGTAATGGAAGATAGATGTAGATGTCTATGGGCCGCAGCAACCACTTACCATCAGGTGGACTGTGTGCTCGTTTGTCACCCTATCCTATAAAAAAAAAAGTAAAGTAAAGTTACAGCCTATATACGTCCCACTGCTGGGCACAGGCCATTTCTGAGAGGGTTTTAGGGCAAGGAAGTGTCCGCCGCGCTGCCCCAATGCGTGTTGGCGAAGTTCACATGTCTTCGAAAATTTTTTTTTATTCCTCAGACATGCAGGTTTCCTCACGATGTTTTCCATCACCGTCGAGCACGTGATCAAAATCAGCACTTAAAATTGCAATTAACAATTTCGTTGGTGCCAGCGGGGATCGAACCCGGGTTACTCGCGTTCTGTTATATTTACAGCGAGCGTTAACTATCTGAGCTACCACGGCTCTTAAGCCTATATGCATTTACGAAATTATAATTTAAAAATGTGGGGGTTGGTTTACGTCAAAACTTCATCAATTGTACATTGAGTTTAATCACATAACAAATAATAGTACAAGATTCAGAAGGATCGCTTTGATAGCATACTTGCGAGTGTAAAACTAGCTACAACGTCTCTAGTGTTCATAATACTTTGCACGCCTTGGAAGCAACCTTAGGTAAACTAGCTTACTGACTAAATAGTCGACAAAAAATAATTATGCAGCGCGTTTATTAAACCAAAATGCGCCGAATGTCCACGTGCCAGTATCTGTATCCCGTTACGCCCGTTTCGCGCCTTTGTTAAAGCCGCTCCTTACTGTAGGGTAAGGTGTTGCGAGAAAACAAATTGAATCCTTTGGTATTATTTGGTAGTAGTATACACAGACGTATATACCGAGGCTAATATGCCAAATGGAAAAAATTTAGATTATATCAGCGTGAACGTCAGATACGTCAGAACCCGAAACTTACATAATTTACCTACTAATCATGTTCTGTTTCACATTTTTCGTCATTTACAAATATCAGGCTCGCGACGACATTATTAATGAAAGAGTAGTAATGAGAAGTGCTGTCATTTTCAATCTCTTTCTTTTATCGACCAAGTAAAGGTTTAATTATAACCAGCCGATATTGCATTATTAGGCACTAACTAGCACTGGGAGGTCAACTTACACTGAATGCCTTTTTATGGTCATTAACATTATATGCGACAAAATCAAAAACTGCGAAGCTGCAGCCGGGTCGCTAATCAAATAATAAATCTGTAACTATGGCGTCAGTACTCCTAACTAGGTACCTAATTATCTAGATGTACCTATAATAGTATATACCTTTCGATAACTTTTGGAACAGTAAATAATGAAGAATCTACATTCCTATTGTTATTTAAGCACCCGTATATTATGTAGTACTTTTTGGGGTTTTGAGTGGCCATACTTGAATAAAAACTTAAAAATAAATCTCAAAAGTACCTAAATACTTATAAGAGAAAAATGATTCTTTGTTAACCTAAGGCCAGCTTGAACGTGCCAGTGACAACTTCACTAAATTAGCCTCTTGTAGGCAGCCGCGCAGCTTAGGTATATTTTCATGCATAAAGCGCGGGGTGGGACAGGCCTGGTTTAATGCCCCTGGATTCCCCGTTGATCTAGTGGTTATAATTGCGGATGCTAATCATGCGGTCCCGGGTTCATCGAGGTTTTCTGTCCTATCGCTTTATAGGATTCAAGAAATAGGGAGTGCTACAAACTAAAAAAACTGTGCACTATAAATTCGCCCTACGTGAAGATGACTAGCCGAGTGGAATTCGGCCTGGATGTCATTATTACCAATTTGGAAGGCAAATTTTCTGGTGTTTTCCCTTTTAGATGATATTTGATATAATTGTGAAATGTTTAGTGTTAATATTTTCTTTCTACGAAAACAAAATAACATTGACTGGTTGTTCTTCACAAGTAAACATATTTAAATTATTGTAATTATTACCCCTTTAATATGTTTTGATATAAATTACCTTTAGAAACCTGATAATTTTTGTACATAATCATAAGTGCAAGTGGAAACCAAGAGGACCTTTATAAAATATATTTTCCACATTCCAATTTTTTACGTAGTTAGTTTATTTTACTTTTTCTGATCCACACGTATTGTTTTAATATCTCTTTGTCCAATGTGGTCATTACGACTGCGGTACTGTGAGAATGCGCAATTTTCTTTTATAAAACAGAAGTAACAAATGAAATTGCAGTCTACATGATGTTAAGTGGCTACTGTAGACCTTGGATATCAGCAAACAACTTCAAACCAAGAAGGCCACAGATACTTTGTCACCTTTGAGGACTAAGATGGAATGCTTCCCAGTCTGTACTCGTAATTATACTGCCTCTCTTTACGCTACAGAACGGAATACAGCGGTGCAAGCACTGTTATTTGACATTAGAAATACGTATGTGCGTGGAACCTATCTAGACGAACACAAAGACAGAAAAATATTTGTAGGCTTGATTTAAAATAAATATTTAGCATTGAAATAATCGTGTTGCGGAGTCATTAAAACAAACCTGCCAAATCCAATGCAGCTTCCAATTTAATTTTACCATCATTTGGAACTTTTTTATTGACACTCATTTCTTTGAATTAACTATCAGCGATTATAAACACTCGTTTAATTGAATTTTATTGTTTTATTTATACATGTATTCACTATTAAAAATGTCGCACAACACTCTATTGTTGTCATTTAGAAAACTAGATGTTATTTATTATCTTATCTTGATAAATCTTTAAGCGTATCAAATATAGCCTCGATCACTCCAGACATTGTACTCTATCGTTTCAAAGTTTAATTACAATCAGTTAAGTCATTCAGAACAAAGCAACAATTATGTCGTAATAACATTTGCACCACCTAAGCCTAACAATAGTCGGCTATTTTAGCGTTACAGACATTCAATTCAATTTTATTAAAGTAATATTCACTATAAACTAAATATTCACTATAATGATTCGTTTAGTATTTTACATAAAGACTAGCTTGTCAGACAGACGTTATTTTGCTCTTTTCGACGGCCTTTGTCATGTCCTATTAAAAATCCTTAAATTCGCAAAAAAAAATAGTGGGTCACTCATGGGCAAAAAAAAATATCTTATCTCTCAAGTTGGATCAAATTGCACACGGTGTGCAATTTCGATTAAAATCGGTTAAGTAGTTTAGGAGTCCATAGCGGACAAACAACGTGACACGTAATTTATATATATTATAAAATATTATGCAATATTTTATTTATTACTAGCTTTTAACCACGACTTCGTCCGTGTAGATGACTTGCAGATATAATTTAAATATTCTATAATAAACAATTTGTTTAATTATGGAATAATCACTAGATTCAGTTCTTGCTCAAAAAGTGTTTTTTTATTGGACAATGGGTATAAACGAACACAGAGTCCACCTGACGGTAAGTAATTGCTGTGGCCCATATACATCTAAATCTATCCTCGATTACGAATCAAAATGCAGATGCGTTGTCACCCATAAGGACTAAGATGGAATGCCTCGTTTGAAGTGGAACGGATCTCCGGTTCTCTACACTCAGAGCCGACTCATTCGTGATATAACTATACTAGATACTAATATAGCTACAGCATGGCTTTATCACGTAAAGCATGTGCAGTGTGGAAAAATGTATGTGGATGAGAATCTTGAGAGGCTCAATTTACGTTGTCCGGAGAAAAAAAGTACTCAAAATTATAAACTAAAATTATTTTTTATGCTACTATATTGTATGATGTAACTGAGGCACGATAGTTTTTGTATCTAATTTAGTACAAAATAGTAAAAAAAAATCTGAAAGGTCTAAATGTTGATAATATTGGCGCGTCTGCTTCACATTTCCGAACAAACAACCAACAACACCACAACCAACAACAAACACAAACCAACAAAACACTTACTTATGAACGGAAATAATGTGGTCTAATCGCTACCAGGTTTGTTGTTGATATATAAAAAAATATACCGTATGTGTATTTATGACAGGTTTTTTAAGAATTATAATATAAAATTTGTCCAAGCCTAAACTGTGATTCCCGTGGCGCGTCACAAAACTACATACATCCCTGGTAAAATGTTCTAGAGGAGTGCCTCCGCGTCGTCGCATGAGCGCTGCTGGTAGCGCTTCGAAGGTAGTTGCGGAGAATGAGCCCCTCGTCGGTCCAGGACGAAATTACGAAGGTAAAAATAAGATTCCCCTTTTTTTGTTTCGCTAGGTCGTTGTACCCTGACCACTTTTAAAAATGTAATTGGAGTTTTAAAGACTTGTCAGGTGTTAATGGAACAGCTTTAATGATTATTATTTATTTAGTTAATTATTATTATTTAAAACGTATTGTTTTGATCATAATCGATAAAAACATCCTACTTTTTGATTCCATTGGCATTGATGCCCTTGGTATTTGCGCCAGGGTAATCAAAATTCATGATGAAAACTCAATTTTTTTCTAATTTTATATGAAAAAAAAGAAAGTTTTCATATTATTTCTTACGCTTATATTTATTTTTCATATCGAGTGATGTGCAGTTTCGTAGTCACTTGGAGAAGAAGGCCAAATTGGCCTCTAAAAAGCTTGGCGTGCTCAGCAGAGCGGGACAGTATTTCACGCCGGCACACCGCCTGCAACATTACAAGGCGCAGGTTCGGCCGCACATGGAATACTGCTCCCATCTCTAGACTGGGCTCTCCAGTGCCAGCTCCTTCCATTTGATCGCATTCAGTGCAGAACCGTTCGAATTGTCCACGACAGAGCTCTTTCCGATCGGCTTGACTCACTGGCATTGCGAAGAGACGTTGTATCTCTTTGCGTATTTACCACGAGGAGTGCTCTGAGGAATTGTCCGGATCAATCCCAGACGTCAAATTTCATAAACGAACATCGCGACAAAACTCCCGATATCATCCACACCATCTGGATGACTGGCGATCCACCACTGTGTGATTTGATACTTTACAGAATTTAGATAAAACAGATGCAGTTAATAAACACTAGATGTACGTTATGTGACGGTTACGGCTTTTTAGTCCCCGACAACTTCAAGATATGAAAGAAGATATCAACGTTACTACATATATTTACTATTGTAAATTTTGGGTAGACGAGACATGACAGCATTCATAACGTATTTGGTACGGTGTTTAGGTACACTGAAAAGTGGGGTCTTTCTCATAAGGTACTTAGGAGTGCAGAACCTGATACTAGCGAGAAGATTGGGCTGTTAATGTTATTGTGAAGGATATCATGCAAAAAGCACATATCAAGTACTTCTCGTCTAGATTCCAGTGATAAGAGACCGTATATAAGGCAATCCTCATTATAAGTTCTACGACGACACAAGCCGGTTTTGGAGTTGAGGTGCTTTAGAAATAGTTTTTGTATTCTTTCTAATCTGTTTATATATTAAGCATATTGCGGTGGCCATATGGAGCTACCATATTCAAGAATACTGCGACGATATGCATAGTAAATAGACTGCTTACGTTTTCAAAAGGTATATAATATATATACCTCATATACCTCATAATGAACTCCAAGTTGCGGTATTTTATATTGTAACCCTTTACTAAACGAAAATGGATATTTAATAATAAATTAATAATGTAAACCTGATACAAATGGAATAGGGACGATTCAATGTTCTTAACCTTTATCAAGCCCTGTCTTAGGTGATAGGAACGTGGTTCACTTACCACCCGCTAGCTCAGAAAGAACAGCAAAAAGGTTTTCCCGCCATTCGCGTCGCGAGCAAACAGGTTAAAATTATTTATGGCACAACCAACGGCTTTTATTTGCTCTTGTGAATATACATTCTTCCAAAAGACACCTAAAAGAACTAAGTTACTAAATAAACACAACCAAAATAAGGGTCCTAAGACGATCACGACATAAATACTATAAACGTAATACTATAAATACTATAAAAATCCTTAGAAAGATCGCTTGGAAATATCTAAATATATTTCTGGTCAAGTATATAGATATAGTTGGATAGAAAAGCGTAAATAATTTATAAAGGGAGGAGTGGGGTGATCCGTAACACTTCGTATCCTATAAAAAGATCTGGTTCTCTACACTCACAATACGAAACACAGCAGCATTTAAGCTGCTATTTTACGCTGTATTCTATACGAGGGTAGTCCTTCCGCGGTCAAGCCGACTCGTTCGTGGTACAACCATAAATATAGCTGCAATATGACTCAACCACGTAAAAAGCGTCTAAAATATCCCTTTAAATTATTATAATTAACATGATGTTAATATGAACATCAATAATTATTGTGAGTTCGTTATGCAAATAAATTAATTTTATATTATTTTTTAAATAATCGTATATGAATAATAATTAAAAGTTAGTTTTTTTTTCTAAGCCAATGCGTTGTAAAAGTTACGTACGAGTATTTTAGGGCAGTGCGCACCTCAATTGTCAATTCAAGGTGGCGGAGCGTATCTAATGAGACATTCTGATAATAACGCGTAAAGGTTTGTGGCCCTGAATACCAGATGTCGCCGCCATCCATAGAAAAATTGAATTTAGATTTTCTTCGGAGATGCACGCCACTGTTGCACATGATTCAAGCAGGGACGTCAAAAAATCAATAACACGGCGCATGCGTTACGCGGCCGCAATATCCACAATACAACTGTACGTTTATGGGGCCCTAGTACTACCGCCCACAGATACGAAAGTTTTCTGCCCTCAACCAGAGTTTCCCAGGTCCACGAAAACCTTTTTATCGAAGGTGGATGGAACTAAAATCGCAGTCAAGCCACGGATTTGATTGGTTAGTTGGGTAAAACGTTTGCTTGTTTTTGCAGAATTACACTATAAAAAATTTCGATATACATACCTAGTCCGGCCTGTTGCAAGTTCTCTTACAAATGAAAATGCATTTCTTTTTTAATGAAGTAATGTAATATTACTAAAACTATTATATCTCAAAAAAATAGAAACAATATTCTATTCAAAATGGCCACCTTTGGGTTTTATTTACGGACTGTTTCCATGGAAAATTGCGCCACTGTTTGCTTCAGAGATTTTTTAAGAGACTCAATGTCACCGTGTTACTTAGAGCAAACCATGTTCTCTAAAACTGACCATAATTTGTAGTCTAAAGGGTTGAGGTCTGTGCTAGATGAGGGCCAGTCTTCAGCTCTTATAAAGTCCGGAACGTAGGTTTCAAGCCAGGCTTGGGTAGTACGTGCCATGTGACCCGGTGCAGATTCCTGCTGGAAAGTCCACGGCACATTTTAAAAAAGTGTATTGCTGAGAGGTTTCACTACACGATCCAAGACTGTGTCTTGATACACTTTGGCTGAAGTCTTCACTCCTTTTTCACAAAAATGTAGCTTTATGACGGCTTAACAAGACACGCCCCACCAAACCATCACTGAAGCAGGATGATGAACACGTTGTACCTTTCCGACCACTTGAGCAGTTTCTTTAGAAATATGAGCGTACACTTTATCATTGAGCTTATTGTAGTGCTCTTCAATCGTGAAAAATTTTTCATCGGTAAAGAGGATATTTCTGTGACCTTCACCTGCGTATCGCGACAGAAGGCGTTCTGATCGGT